GTAAAGACATGTTCGTTTTTTTTAAAAAACAGTTAGTGTAGTGAGTAGTCACTGTTTGGCATGCTTCTCCTCATTGCCTGGATAATCTGTAGGACACAATCATATGCCTTAGAGGCTACCTCAGGCTGCTTTGTGAGCCTGAACCATGACACAGTATGTACCACAATATATTCTGTGTATTTGGCACTGATATGTACAGTCATGAGGTTCGCTTGTAAGTATACTACTATATATTCTTAGAAACGGGGACGATATTAATTCATTAAGTAGTGCTGACATTGTTGGTTTCCTGGTGACTTCTATTGGAGTTACTACCCAATGGAATACTCAAACAAACCTAGTACATCTTTATCTCCCCTAATGAATTTTTATCTCCCATCTAGTTTGTTCTCTGTGATTTATGCAAGTAAAATTTTGCATTTTCTCCTTCGCAGAGGCTTTATATATACTGTTTAAAATGACAATGCTTAAAGCAAGATCCAGGCAAATTGTTCTCAGTGAGTTCAGATTGGACTAGCAATCATGTCATTTTACTGGCTAATTAGCAGAATAACTGTTCCTTATGTGAATGTTCAAGAAGTTAAAGCCTGTTAATATTGATTTTGAGTTGGATGTTATCTAAATATAAAATTAGAAATTTTATCTTAGTATATAACTTTTACTATGGCATCTAGAAAAAAACTTTGCATTCCCAACTTCCACTTGGAAGCTGTGACCCAATAAAACCTGCCTTAATTAAAAAAGATACAACTGAAAACAAAAGAATGTCAAATCACATGCAAAAAAATATTTCAAATAGCCTTAGTAAAAGTGTAACTCAGCTTTGTTATGTCTCTTGTCTAAGACAGGATCTCACCCAATTAAGTATGAATTACAACCATTGAAAAATGAAACCAAAGAATGTCCAAAAACTATTAAAATTTGCTAGCGTTGATTTGCCAAGTCTTTACTGTGAACTTACTGAATGTTCAGTGCATCAAAATAACATAGGAAATTTATTACCAAATATGTTGAAGAAAAATTCTACTGGTACAATAATACATATGACACTAACTTTAAAAGATAAAAAAGTCTGTTTCATTGAATAAATTTCCTTTGCTTACATTTTATGAGTAAAAGTAAATCACTAGCTAGATTCTTTGTTTGCTTCCAAATTTTTTTTTCTTATGAGTTGTCTAGATACTTGAATGTTATTAAATTTACCTTCTCTGAAAAAGATAAATGTATAAGCTACATTTATTTTATTTCATACAATTAATCTAACTGTAAATTGAAACCTGAGCTACATATATATGTCTGTATATGTATTTCTGCATCTGAAAGAATAATAATCCTTTATTTCCAATCTATAAGTCACTGGTAATTCACTCTATCGCATCATTTATACAATTCATCTCTTAATTTCTCAGCATGCTGATATGCAGCCAGGATTGAAAGCATTGTTAAAATGTAGATAAATGGTATCTGCCCAGTTCCCTTTATTCACTCACTGTTAGCTCAGAAAAGCTACTGTATTAGCATAGCAAGATCTGTGCCTTGCAAATATGTTCTCACTACTATGCAATCTTCTCCTGTGAGTGTTCTTAAATCAGCACCATAATTATGTTTACAAATATCGTATCCAAGATAAAAGTCAGGCCACTCACCAAAACTTGTCTAAGATAACTACTCTACCTTTCACCCTTTAAATAGTAGGACCCCATTTAGGATGCTCTTCATGGTCCTGACATAACTTAATTGGTTTTCTTCTTATTGTGCATCACTAAAGCATTGGTATGGACCCTCTTTCTTGACCCATTTATTCTAACTCTTTCTTTCTTACTCTAATTTACTATACTTAACTAATTATGTAAATGCTATATTACTCAGTAAAATGCAACTGAACATTTAGTTATGTTTTCTTCTTTAAAAATAAGTACCTCTCCCTAAATTTAAGTTATAGTTTATGGAAAATAAATAGTATTAAATCTTTCAGTTCTGTTTTTGTTTATTTCTTTGATCTAATAATTGCTTCATTTTGATTTTACATTTTTCTGTGTTTGAAATATTCTGATTATATGTATAATTAAAAATCATTTTAATTTATCCTTTGATTTCTTTTTCTTGATTATTGAATGTTTAGCATAACTATTTTATTTTTATATCCAACTTATTACATATTCATATGTTCTAATTATGTTTATAAACATAGAAGCCTTGCTTTATATTTATATTGTCTCTTGAATTTCTTTTGTGGCTTAAGTATAGCAGATTTTGGAATCTTATATTTATTCAGACGCCCTCTACCCATTGGTTAGTTTTTGTCTTTAATCACTTGCTTCCTAAATTGTTAGACAAACCCATTCTAAAGCATTCATTGAGTTGGTGGATAGTGATAATATGAACATCATGTGAGGTAAGTCGAGTGACAAGTAGAGTAATCTGATCCTCAGGACTTGTTTAGTTGACATTCATCAAACCTTTGCCCATATTTGACTGACAATAAATAAAATAGATTAGTCTTAATTTCATCTTGTTTTGTGCTCTTAATACTTTGGTAAAGGTGGAGATAAAAAGTACCGGTCCCTGAAAGGAAAAAGTGTCACCAAGTAGTATTCTAAGCACTTTATTTTAACTCTCTTGAGCCCCATGAGTTCTGAATGGTTTGTGTTGTTTTCATCCTTGGTGAAAGCATGCTCAGTAACTTGCTTTGGGGGGGTGAACCAGTGCACAAACCCAGGCACTATGGCTCCAGTTCACATCTCCACTTTTGAAGTACCCCACTCAAATTATGAGCCTTATGGTCTGTGTTCATATAGGATATGATTTAATTCCTTCTCCCTGTATCCTTTACCTTCCTGTCTGGGTGTCACCCTCTGCTCTTAAGCATTTGTTTATCATAGTTTTCCTGTCCTCAAATAGATCTGTACCCACATTAGACCATGGCACTTGGGTTTCTAGGACACCCAGTAGATGAGGTAGTCACCGAGAGGCAGGTTTTATCAAAGTGTCTGTTCCTTTCCCACAGTCTGCTTTTCTCCCTAGTGACTGATTGGTCAACTTAAGACATTCACTTGTCAAATCCTAAACAGCCTTCAGATCCTGGATGAGAGCCAAGCCTAAGCATTTGATTTCTGACTGCCTGTTCTCCCCTTGCTGGGAAGAAAGCACCTGTGTAGAACACACTTAGCACCCAGTCTTACCACCTCAGGGAGACAATTGTCCCAATCTTTCTATCCCTCACTATGGTTCCTTCCCTAAAACCAGAGATGAAGATGAATGTTTTGATTTCTGAATAACCTTTACTCCTTCTGGAAACCCTTATAGAAGGGTAGGCAAAGTTAGAAGGATACATTATCAGGTGTGGAGGTAACATTTAGAAGTCACTGTTCTCTTGGTATGTTGGCACAAATAGATTAGATAGAAATAAGAAAGCCAGGCTTTCCCTGGTGGCTCAATGGGTTAGGATGCAGCACTGCAAGCTGGCAGCAACCACCTCAATGCGAGTTCCATCCCCTGCCCCAGAGGTGATCCACATGGTGCAGCAGACCTCTCCTGTCTGGTCTGCTGCTCCCCTCAGCAGTGTACTTCATTGATCTTCCTGTTCTGCTCCCCACTCTATCTTTGGTGAATTCTCTCGCTGCCCTTGCACCTCTGGCTTGTACCCCAGTTCTGTATGCATAAATTTTAAAAAATCTTTAAAAAAGAAGAAGAAGAAAGCTAACCCTTCTTGCCGTATCCTGAACTGGCTACCCATCTTAAGATACAGTGTTCCCTTCTTGGGTTTAAACCTTTCAAAATTTGTTCCCCTCCTTTGTCTATTTTATTAGGTAACTCAACTGTAAGATTTAAAACACTCTTTTAGGAAATTTGTATTTGTTGTGTATCAGGTTTAATAGTTCTATGATTTTCATATTGTGGTAATTTTTTAAATGTCTGTATAGATTTTATTTATAAGCTCCCATGTTGACTACTTTCCCTATAAAGAAAATTAGCCTGTTTAGTTAGACAGACTTTTTTTCTTCAAGTTCCTACTTAGTCAAAAATCACTCCAGAATATTCAGTTATTTAGTCTAGCCATCCGTCTTATTTCCCTTAGCAGCAATTTGTTCTTTTCTATTTCCCTTGATTTTATGTCTGAAAGACTTGATTGTTAAATATTTTTACCCGTTCCTTTATCATTGTCGTATAGTATTAGCTGTTTTTTCCTCAGTTTTGATACTTCCAGTAAATTGTGGCAAGTCATTTTTCATTTTAATTTTTTTAATAAGGCAAAAGGCCCTGACTTATGTTCCTAGCCACTCACTAGTAATATTTTTGCTTCAGGTGTATCTAGCCATACTCTGTATGAACTTCGAAGCAGGTTCAAGTTAGATTTATTTCTTTCAGTAAGGTATTCATGTATATGGATGCAGATACACTGGTATCTATTTAACCATCATAAGGCCTCTAGTGACCAACCATCATGTATTTCCTTACCAATTTAAATATTTTCTGTGCTTTACAAACACAAATTTCAGACCAACGCAAAGGTACAGCTTTCTTTTCAATCAGATATTTCCAATATAAATTAAACATTAGGAAGCTGACATATGTATTGAATGCCCACAGGAGTCCGAGTCCGGGAGTAGCCGAGGGAAGCTGTTGCAGTATAAGGAGTCAATTGTGCTCCAGTGGAAATAGCCCCAGCTGTTTCTGGCCAAAGTCAGTGCATGAGATTCAGAGTCACAACTCTGCCGTTTACTGGTTCTCTGATTAAGATACTTAACCTTACTGTGACTCTAAGGTGGAGAAGATATCCAAACCTGCCAAGAATTCATGTAAATAGAAATGGCAGCTACTTAAAAGTCACTTCATAACTACAAGTACTGTATACACTATTAATACTCAAAATTGCAACTCAAATGATAGGATGAACATCCACTACATGCTAGGCATTGTTCTAAGCTATCTAAATAAAGTTGTGAAAAAGGAAAACAAAGGTCCTACTCTCCAAGTGTTTACCTTCTAGAGGAAGGAAA